GTGTGTGTGTCTCTGTGTGTGTCTCTGTGTGTGTGTGTGTGTGTGATACAGTGTGTGTGTGTGTGTGTGTGTGTGTCTCTGTGTGTGATACAGTGTGTGTGTGTGTGTGTATGTGTGTGCGTGTGACACAGTGTGTTATTGAGCACATCAGGTGTGAAGCAAGGCTCTGTGGCTCCAGCTGTTGATCACGAGCTCATGAACACACTTATGGGAGGATGAAGTGGGTCAGAGGAGGAATCAGCCGTCTTCTGTTCATGATGAAGAGATCTGCGTCCTGAGACACCAACACAGACTAGTAACGAGGTCACAGGTGACAGCTGAGATAAAGAGAGCCAAACCTGATTGGCTGGAGCAGATGAAACCGACCAATCAGGACGTGTGTGTGTGTCTCTCTGTGTGTGTGTGTGTGTCTCTGTGTGTGATACAGTGTGTGTGTGTGTGCGTGTGACACAGTGTGTTATTGAGCACATCAGGTGTGAAGCAAGGCTCTGTGGCTCCAGCTGTTGATCACGAGCTCATGAACACACTTATGGGAGGATGAAGTGGGTCAGAGGAGGAATCAGCCGTCTTCTGTTCATGATGAAGAGATCTGCGTCCTGAGACACCAACACAGACTAGTAACGAGGTCACAGGTGACAGCTGAGATAAAGAGAGCCAAACCTGATTGGCTGGAGCAGATGAAACCGACCAATCAGGACGCAGCGCGGGTTCCACAAATGTGTCAGAATCTCTGATTCACTGCAATGTTGCACAGAAAGAGAAACATCTGAAACACATTCAACAAGAGCGGCAGCTCCTTTCACGTGTTCTTCAGAAGAAACCAGATCAGACTAAACTAGGACAGCGACTGCCAGCTGAAAGCCTTCCTTCCTCGAGCTTCTGGAACATGCAGCGTGTCGAGAAGGACCTGAGGGTTTGGTTCAGATGATTTCAGCAGCACAAACTGAACTCTGAAGTCATTTATTACACCTGAACAACACAAAGACTTGCAGTGATTCGAGCTCAGCTTCACGACGAACACAGACAGCTCAAATACTGTCGTGATGAAGAAGCACCAGAGTCTTGCTGAGCAAGTTAAAGTTAGTTCAACTGAATAATAACATCAGAGACATTACTGAGCGTCCCAGCAGACAGGGAGTGTTCTCAGAGCTCTGGCAAGGTTATGAGCAAACGCTCTTCCAGGAACAGTAATAGAATGTTCATTCAAACTTATCTGCTCTTCAAACGTTTTAGAAATGTTGCTACATGTTTCAGAGCGTTCAGAGAACATTCAAATGTAACGTTTCCCTAATGTTCAAAAGGATCAGATGGCATGTTCCCGTAACGTTCACATAACGCTCTGTGATCTGTGACTGCACGACATCAGAAAGACCAGGCCCTTCCTAACAGCTTCTGAAACATGCATCATGAGCACTTTCTGTCATGTATTCCTCAAAAGCATCTGCTAAATCAATCAATGTAAATGTAAATACATGATGACCAGGTTTATATATTTATCATCAATAAATCCAGTTTGATTCAATCTTATACATTTTAACTAATTAAATATTGCTTATTTCACATGTAGTCATATTTGAACCATTTACTTTTTAACTGGATAAATGTACAGTAATTGTATTCGCAGTGAACAGATTTAGGCTGATTCTAAGCTATTTGAATAAATGCAGTTTAAAAATATGGATAATTGAGTAAAAACTGCAGAAATCTGACCCGTTTCATTTCTGTATGACTTACATTAGGCCTAAATATTGTTTTTTTAATGTGTAGAGAGAAACAGGAGAACTAAAACCAGACTCCTGCTGATCCAGATGGACCTGTGGAGATCTTCATTTCCTGAACGACCGCTGAGTGTCCCTCACACACACACACACACGTTGAGGTGGTCTGTTGTGTCAGCGGGTGCGTGTGATGAATGACAGACAGTCATGTGACCTGCAGATGTTTAATGGCAGCACATGCTCACAGTGAACAGCTGATGTGTTGCTGTGTCAGTTACACACATTAACTCATAATCATAATCCACACACGAGCCGTGAAGCTCATCGTGTTCCTCTCGCTGCAGCCGCTGAAGAACCGACACACACCGATTACACCAGCTGTGAAACTAGGACTAGTTTACGTGTAAAGGGGCACTAACTTATCACCAGACTTCTAGACTCAGCAATGCACCATTACATTTAGTTAAAGAGTAGCTCCACAGATGAAATATTAACTGAAGCCTCCGATCAGGAAAACCAGCAGACTGATGGAATGATGAAATGATCATGAGCTCATGCTTCAGTTATGATGATGATGATGATGAAGACATTCACACTCCATTACATTTAAAAAAAGAAAATATTAGAATAGACTTGATAGCAGCGTTTCATCATGAAACCCATTGAAATGCTGCACGTCAGTGTGTCACGTTTCAATAATTAAAATATTAAAAATAAAAATGCATTTATATAATTAATTGTATTTGTATGCATTTATTGCCGTTGTTAATTTTAGACACAGTTCCTTCATATTATTTACACATTTGAAAATATGAATTTTCCTTTTCTGATTATTTTTGTGTCACTTTCAATAGAAATGTAATTGATCACCACTGACCGCTGAGTGAGGAATAAACCATCCACTGCATCCAGACTAAACCGAAACACTCTGAAATCAGATCTGAAGGCTTCGTCTCAGGGTTTCTGCAGGTCTTATAAAGGTTTAATTCTCCCGGCTACAAATTAAGGCCTAAAAGCTCTTAAATCAGAGCAGAAAGTCTTCAATTCATAAACTCGTGGCATTAAATGTTGCATGACCTGCTAAAAACAAATCTCTTCCTCAGTGTTTCTTGATACTGAGGAAGAGATTGATGTTTGCAGCGCCATCAGAACAGATTCTGATTTCTAGTTAAGCTTTTTGTCAAATGAATTAAAAAGCAATGAAGATCAGTTTGAGTTTGTATTTTCAAACTCTGAAGCGTTGCTAAAACAAGACATCCACATTTAGAGACCATATTGATGTGTTGTGTTCTCTTTACTAAAAACCCTGCAGAAGCTCTGTTAGTGGATCAGTAAAGGTGAGCATCTCTTCCCGTTACTGTCCGGAGAGACTGAACTAATGGTGCTAACGGAGTACATGACAAACTAACTAGTAGTCATTAAACAGCTAGTCTGAAGTTCAGTGTACATCCTCACGCACAGCTGGTGAACTGCTGATCATGTGACGTGTGTCTGGATCAGGGCTGCAGCCGCACTCACTCAACCAAACCAGAAGTACAGCTCATGAGACTAGTTAAGCAGTTAACCCAGCAGCTGATCCGGTAGTCTCTAGTGAAGCCGCTGCTGCACACATAAATAATACAGAGTTCATCACGTCAGTTCAGCTTCGTGATACGTCTTCAGTCAGTTCTTCAGTTTCTCCAGTTCAGATGATGATGATGATGATGATGGTGGTCTGCGGAGCAAATAAACCAATCAAACGACCCGTGTCCTTCATCGCCTCTTCATGGGGTTCCTGTGGAGTCGGTGCATCATCTGGAGTGACATTATTATATTTCACATCCAGACTGTGTGTGTGTGTGTGTGTGTGAGTGTGTGTGTATGTGTTTGCGAGTGAGTGTGTGTTTGTGTATGTGTTTGCGAGTGAGTGTGTGTGTGTGTGTGTATGTGTGTGAGAGAGAGAGTATATGTGTGTGTGTGTGTGAGTGTGTGTGTGTGTGTGTACGTGTTTGCGAGTGAGTGTGTGTTTGTGTTTGCGAGTGAGTGTGTGTGTGTGTGTGTGTGTGTGAGTGTGTGTGTATGTGTTTGCGAGTGAGTGTGTGTTTGTGTATGTGTTTGCGAGTGAGTGTGTGTGTGTGTGTGTATGTGTGTGAGAGAGAGAGTATATGTGTGTGTGTGTGTGAGTGTGTGTGTGTGTGTGTACGTGTTTGCGAGTGAGTGTGTGTGTGTGTGTGTGTGTGTGAGAGTGTGTGTGTGTGAGTGTGTGTGTGTGTGTGTGTGAGAGTGTGTGTGTGTGAGTGTGTGTGTGTGTGTGTGTGAGAGTGTGTGTGTGTGAGTGTGTGTGTGTGTGTGTGTGAGAGTGTGTGTGTGTGAGTGTGTGTGTGTGTGTGTGTGAGAGTGTGTGTGTGTGAGTGTGTGTGTGTGTGTGTGTGAGAGTGTGTGTGTGTGAGTGTGTGTGTGTGTGTGTGTGAGAGTGTGTGTGTGTGAGTGTGTGTGTGTGTGTGTGTGAGAGTGTGTGTGTGTGAGTGTGTGTGTGTGTGTGTGTGAGAGTGTGTGTGTGTGAGTGTGTGTGTGTGTGTGTGTGAGAGTGTGTGTGTGTGAGTGTGTGTGTGTGTGTGTGAGAGTGTGTGTGTGTTTCCTGGTTTGATCAGATCACAGATGAATAACTAAAGAGGACTAAACCCGAGGGTGAGTGGGGTCTGAGGGGAGGTGGTGGTGATGAAGATGAAGATGATGGTATCGGTCGCTCCGGCTCAGAGGTGTGAGGAGGTGGAGAAGCACAGCTTCAGTGTGTACGGGTTTGAACCGTCTGAAAAACAACAAGAACACATGATCAGCACGTTACGGTCAGCACAGAAACAAACGCTCGCTCAAACGACTACAGAATCTGCTAAATGTTCATGATTTGACCAAAATAAGAGATCAGACAAAAAATAACTGAGGGACTCGGATGCAACTAATACAAAAGCTTTAAACAGCGCCGGCGCTGCAGAAGAAATCTCGAGGCATCCAGAGCTTCTGAACAGGATGATGACATGATATTTAAAAAAAACTTAATGCATCGTGTTTCCTTTTTGTTACACAAATCATAATCTGGTCGATTTTTCCCTATAATTCTATAATTCTGAATGAAGTAAAGGTCAGTTTCACACTGGATAAAATACAGCTCAGACTGATTCAAAATACATTTCATAACAGACTGAAATATTCTGTATGACTGAAGACTGTTTTCTGGACGATCACAGTGAAGCCTCTGATATCTCTGACGGCGTGGCTGGACTGGAGCGTGGTCACTCACTGGGGATCCGGATCTGATAGTGGTTGAGGACCGTCAGAACCTCCACGGCGTGAGTCTTACTGTCGAACTCCAGCAGGCCAGAGATGGTCTTTGAGCTGGCTGCGGATGCAGACACAGAGACACACGATCAGCTCAAAGCAGCTGGACCGAACACACATCAGCTCAGAGTCAACGCTGGAAACTCAGACTCACGTTTGGCGTCAAACACCTTGTATTTGATGAATCCTGGGACGTCGTGTTCGGTGCATAACTGCGAAACAACAGAGGAGCGTGAGTGCGATTCAGGAACGCTAGTGAGACACCACACACACATTCACCTGACCGCTGTTATATTTGATTCATATTCAGCTAGTTATAAATACTATAATCTGTCAGAAAACGTTCTGCATGTTAACAATGAAAAAAATCCAGATTTTTCTTCCTTCTATAACATTAGTTTGACGTCCTCAAACAGAGGTTTTGTCAGATTGAACTCGCTTCTGGGAAATTGGTTTGCAACAAACATTTCAGAAAATGAGATCCATTCATTTAAAGAATTAATAAAGAAATTCAGAGACGATTTTAAAACTACAATTTTAGAATCAAAAATACTGACAGAACAATTTAAAGTAGCACCAATTACTGAAGCTAATGAGACAGGGTTATTATAATAATTACACTAAAACTACAGTAAAACCATAAAAACATGTGCATTACTTGAAATACTGCAATATTAACTGGAATATATATATATATATATATATATAGTGTTCCTGTGGAATGCACTGTAAGTCGCTTTGGATAAAAGCGTCTGCTAATGTGTGTGTGTGTGAGTGTGTGTGTGTGTGTGAGAGAGAGAGTGTGTGTGAGAGTGTGTGTCTGTGTGTGAGTGTGTGTATGTGTGTGTGTGTGTGTGTGAGTGTGTCTGTGTGTGTGTGTGAGTGTGTGTGTGTGTGTGTGTGTCTGTGTGTGAGTGTGTGTGTGAGTGTGTGTGTGTGTGAGTGTGTGTGCTCACCAGACATTGAGGCGTTTGCTGAACACCTTGATGCTGTTGAGGTGTGTGATGGCTCTGTCGACCGCGTACTCATCACTCATCTCTACTAGAGCCGTGCCCGGGACGCTCTTCATGAACTTCACCTGCACACACACACACACACACACATTTATTTATTCTTGGAGACTTTCCACAGACTTTAACCACAGCTAGTTGTAAGCAGTGTTGGGGAAAGTTACTTTTAAGAGTAATGCATTACAATGGCATTACATTTAGTTTTTGTAATAATAAAAAACTCTGCTATTTTGTTGCAAATTTAAAAAGTAACGTGTTACTTTATTAGTTAATTAAAAAAGTAATCTGATTACATAACTCATGTACTTTACCCCCAACACTGCTTATAAATACTCTAATCTAACCCTAATCCACACAATAACCCTAACAGAAAACTTGTAGCATTTTTACACTTTAAAAAATTACTTATTTTATTTTTATACTGTCTTTACAAATAAAGGTTTTATCAGATTAAACTCACTTCTAGGTACAAAAAAAGTGCAAACACACAAAATTTTTATATTAGTTCATTACTTGAAATAAAATAAACTTTAACATAAAAAGATAACTTAATTCAGCAATTGGCCAAATCAACATTTTTAATAAAAAATTATTAAAACTATGCAGTCATAAAAAATAAAGATTAATAGAAATGACAAAAACACAAAAAAAATGACTTAAAATTAAATGGAAAATATAAAAAATAAAAACTGACAAAAAAAACAAAAAGCTTTCAAATTAAAATGAAAACAGATAATATGAAAAACAATGATAGTACCTCAATTACACTGGAGTAACACTAGCACACACAGTACAGCACTACTCACACTGCAGCACATCAGTGCAGTATGTTCACTGTGCAGTGAATGTCAGTCATCTGCTCTGAACTCGCTTTACCTTCTCGATGTTTCCATAGAGACAGAAGAGGTTGAAGATGCGAGTGCAGTTCATCTTGGCGGGATGCAGGCCGCTCACCATGGCGACGGAGCTGGAGGTGTGGCTCATGTATGAGGATGTCTGGGGCAGCGGATACGCAACCACCTCCGGGACATCATGAGAGCCGCGCTTGAAGCGGTTATTACCGGGCAGCGGCAGCAGGGGGCAGTGAGAGCCTGCACACACACACACACACACACACACACACACACACACACACAGACTGTTATCTAACACTTCAGGCCTTAATAAACATATCAAACGTTGAATTATAATATACTGCTTTGGCTGTTTGTTTAAATCAGTGTCATGATGAGAGACTGACCGTATCCGTTATCGCTGTATGAGGACGGATGTTCTCCCAGGATGGCCTGCCGCTGTCGGCCTTTACCGCGCTCTACAAGAGAACACACGAAACACACACACCAGACTGTAAATGCACACCAGTAAAACATTCACTTTGAGAACACAACAGACACACATGATCCTGAAGACAATGAAGATCTGTTTAATATCATTAACATCCCATACTCAGAAATTGCTAGTAAATTACACAATTAATTACAAAGAAATAGTCAGTGAATTGAACAGTTTTAAAAACATTTTGCATTTTTAAATTTTTTTATAAACTTGAAAAATATTTTTACAGTGAACCAGATTATTAAATACTAACCAAAAACATACTGAAACTTAGATAATTATATATAATTTAAATATTTTTTCTGCATAAGAAAGTCTTGTAATGAGAATTTGAGGTTAAATGTGCTTCATTGTCATGAAAATAATGTCAAAACGCAAAACATCTTGAAGAAAATTAAGTCTTTTTTAAGACCATTACTGTATGTAAAATTAAATTCTGCATTTCTGTAGCTCGAACAGCAGAGCATTGCGCTCACAACACCAAGAGCCGGGGTTTGATTCCCAATAAATGCATGAAGTGATTCAATGCAGTGTAAATCAGTTTGGATAAAAGCATCTGCCAAATGCATAAAAGTAAATGCAATTTCTTTTTCTGATTTTGGGTGAATATGAATCTGACATGTTCTATCTGAAAATAAAAGCAGTTGACTAAAAACCATTTGCAATATTACATTCACTTTCACGTGTCACTGAACCAAACGAAACAGACAAGCTGCTGGACGCCTCGTAAAAATGAAAGATGGAAATAAAATCCATTAAAAATCACAGAAACTCTCCTGTACATACTGAGAGACAGACACAGACAGATGGGCAGAAATAAAAGGCTTTGTAAATTAGGTTGTATTCAAACATAATCCTCTTTAGATGAAAAACAGACAATCAAACATTCAGAAGAAAAAACACTCCCAAGTGCTTTTTATAGCCAAAGAAGCTTAAACAGAGACGAAGTTAGAGAATCCCTGGAAACACGTTAAACACACGTCAAAGATCACACACACATGCGTGAATAAGAGCATGTTTGTGTGTGTGGACTGAATCAGGCAGACGTGAGGAGTGGAGGAGGAACAGGCGTGTGTCTCTGTCGGCCTGCGAGAGGAACTCATGCACAGTCGTGCTAATTGCTACAAAATGAGCAGTTAGCGGCAGGAAGTGTTTGGCACGGCTGGGCTCCGTCTTCAGAGAGGCAGCTCAATGTGACCTTCAGCCATCAGCTGAGCCTCTTCACATACTGACAGCAGAAATATCACACACGGATGAGGACATAAACACGGAGGAGCTGCACATTCAGCCAAACAGATGGAGATCAGACTACAAAATACAGCCTGAAACTCTTAAAACACTCACTCAATTTCTATTTGGTTTGCCATTTTTGTAAATAAAAATATGGGGCATTTTAGCAATAAAAATTACATCAACATTTATAAATAGAAAAAATATTTGTATCTATTTTTTTAAATTAAAAAGTAAATATAATTGCAAGTGAACAGACTGCAAAATTACCGTAAATTAGTATTTTTTAAAATTGTGTACAAATTTGAAAAGTTCTGAAAAAAAGGGTCCAAATAATGTCATGTTACAATTTTTGGAAATTAATGTGAAAACAGGGTTGCATGCAAAATATAGGACACCGATAAATATTAAATTTCTGGTAATTAGAATTTCAAAATTAGTTTTTTAGCTAATTTATTTATAGTAGCTTTTTTCCACATTAATATTAAATATATTATGTCAACACTGTATAATTTTAGTAATTAAAAATAATTTTCATGTTAGACAGTAAACACATCTGTTGTTTCTCTCGAGCGTCTTTAATTCTTTAAGGCAAGACACTACAGATGAATATGGTTAAAATGTAAACTAACAGATATCATCATACTTCAGTTGATTAATCACAGCACATCGAGACAATTGTATTGTATTACAACTTTTCTAAAATGTTGTTTGAATATACAAACAAGGCATTGTTTAAATATATATGCACTCATTTGCATAGATGTACTACAATAGATGTAGAACAACTATAAACACTTGAATGTGTATTTTGGGTGTTTTCTTTCCACTTCCTAATACATATCTTTAAATAACAGTATCTTTAAATAAGATAATTCATATCTTTTAAACAGTTTTTTCTCCACTTCAGCAGTTCTTACATACAGGAAACTTATTCCTATCTATATTCTGAAGAATTTTACTGAGGGGATTTTGGATTTCTCTTTTTATCACTCCATAAATCAGAAAATACTGTCAACAGACAGAAAAACTTTTTTAGGAGTAAAATGTTGTATAAATCAGTGTGAAAGATATATGAACAAACCCCTCAGTAAAAACCTTCAGAATATAGAGAGGAATAAAACTGTAAGTTTTGGTGTTTGTAAGTGCTGCTGAAGTGGAGAAAAAACTCTTTAAAGAAACGTAACGCAATTGAAATCTACAAACGCAAATAGATAAAGTGCAACAAAATAAACCCTTAAATGTGTATTTTTGGTGTTTTCTTTCCACTAGTCTGAAATGTTATGGAAGCAAAATAGACTAAAATCTCAAAATTTACCAGAACATTAAAAAACATTGGTTTTGTCTGTAGTGTCTCACCCTTATTACTCTTTATCTATTTGCGTCTGTAGTTTTCAATCCAAATCCATATCTTTAAAGAGATTTATCTCCACTTCTGCAGCACTCACATACACCAAACTTTACAGTTTTATTACCATCTATATTCTGAAGGTTTTTACTGAGGGGTTTTTGGATTTCTCTTTTTATCACTCCATAAATCAGAAAATACTATCAACAGACAAAAAAACTAACATTTTCACCATGTTTTAGGAATAAAATGTTGTATAAATCAGTGGGATTGCCCACTTCTGCAGCACTCACATACACCAAACTTTACAGTTTTATTACCATCTATATTCTGAAGGTTTTTACTGAGGGGTTTTTGGATTTCTCTTTTTATCACTCCATAAATCAGAAAATACTATCAACAGACAAAAAAACAAACATTTTCACTATGTTTTAGGAATAAAATGTTGTATAAATCAGTGTGAAAGATATATGAACAAACCCCTCAGTAAAAACCTTCAGAATATAGAGAGGAATAAAACTGTAAAGCTTGGTGTACGTAAGTGCTGCTGAAGTGGAGAAAAAACTTTTAAAGATATGGATTGTAATTGAAATGTACAGACGCAAATAGATAAAGTGCAAAAAAATAAATGCTTAAATGTGTATTTTGGATGTTTTCCTTCCACTAGTCTAAAAAAAGACATATTATTCGACTAAATTTGATTAATGCATGAAAAAACAATGTCCTATAGCGTCTCAGCTTTAAAAAAGTCATGTTAATATTCATAATTTGGTCTAAACCTACAGCTGAGAGCGATCAGGCTCCGCGTGTCTGAAGGAGATCTGAGCTTCTGTCATCACATTTCTAATTCTACTAGTGCTGACGGAAAGTACAGAACGCTGAGAGCCAGAAAGAGAGAACGAAGAGAGGAAGAGACGTTTAACACAGAGGTACTGAAGAGTGTTCATTAATATTCTGTGATGAATGTCTTCACATTAGCGTGTGAGTTCAGCTCGCGCTCTTATCCTCAGTCAATAATGAAGCAGCACTGAGAAACACTGAGCAGCCCTTCAGTCTGGAGCCGATCGATGGCTGAACGCTGCTGTTCACCGCTGATAACACTGTTTACACCGCGTTTGAGCCGCTGTCCGGCTAACACACGCGTGACTAAAGAGCTTCCCTCCAGATGCCTGAGCACCACACTGCATTGTGGGCTGTCTGTTCCTGGACGACACTGGAAGAACCTCCCACAAGACCCTAGCAACCGGTGAAACCCGCACACTCACATGATGTGGGAGTTTGAGCTGAAACATGTGATGCTCAGGGTGAATCCCTGCAGGTAAATCACACTAAAGCTTCATACACCCACATCTGACACAGCAAAACAACCTGACGAGATATTACAAAGATCAGAGATTCTTCAGCATAAAACACACATACATCAGATGCAAAACCTGCAATCAAAATCACATGAACTAACCAGAAGAGCTGGGATTGTGAAAAACACACAATCACACCAGATCTGCCATTTCTCATAGACAGTACAGATATTCAATGAGATTTCAACAACTTCTCAGACCATCTGAAGTCTGCAATCACATCAAAGATCTCCATATAAACTCCAACATTTCTTATCAAATGATCTGCGTTGCTGTTCACACTAATTATAGAGACCTAAATCAATCAGGGGTCTCGGCACACTTACAAAATGACTGAACATGATCTAAAACAAGACAAAATAAGCTTTAAAATAAACTAAAATAGATTAAATAGATTCAAAATTTAAGACAAAAAATACACTTTTCTTTTTCAATATCTTAATAACTATATATATAAAATACATTATAATAATAATAAATTTTATATCTTAAGAACAATACAGTATATATATATATATATATAATAAAATTTTTTAACTAAAAAAAATATAGTGGAGAAATAATTAAAATTAGTTATTGAACTCTAAAGAACATTCCATTCTTTTATCTGCATGGATTCAAATGTGATGGACATCATATTTTTATAGATTTTATTTATTTATTTTATATGTATTTTTTTATGTTTTATATAAAATATTAATAACATATTTAAAAAGTCATAGAAAATAATATAATCTTAAAAATGCATGGACATTTCTATTACAAATATACATTTATCTAGTTATGTCAATCTCTAAATATATGTTCTTGAGTAGAAATTGACATTTGTGAGTTAATCAAAAAAAAAAGTGGAGAAGTCACATTCTGAACATTTAGTTACAAAAATAATTCCAAATTAATCATTTTAATTTAAATATAATTATTTTATTTAATTATTTATATATACTGACAGTTTCCTAGTTTTTGTAAATAAAACAGATGAACTGAACTAAACTCTGAACTGCATGACAACTAGTGATTCATTTGGGTCTGTTTTCATTCCTTTTCTTGAGTCTCCTAAAGAGCAACCAGTGAGAAACACACACACACTCTCTCTCACACACACACACACACACACACTCTCTCTTACCTCGGCGCAGCAGGAAGGGTTTGGTGTAGTCCCAGCTGTCATTGTCGTTTCTGATGACATTGAGGCGTGAGGGCTAGAATGAGAGAGCACAACGGCACTGCATGTGTGTTAGATCCAGCGCTGTGTGTGTGTGAGTGTGTGTGTGTGTGTGAACGCTGCACATTTACCCGAGCGTATTCGATTTTCAGCGTGCAGCAGCCAGCATAGATGTCAGCCCCATTGAGGGCTGCTTTGGCCTTCTGAGCATTCTGGATGGATTCAAACGTGTCGGCCGTCAAGGAAAAAACTCGGCAACACACACTTACAACACAACACAACAATGAATGTCGTGTTTGTCAGCACACACATAAGCATCAGACACCTGGGGGCTGATGGGAGTTCAGATATGAGTGTAAACAGCATGTAAACGGACTGCTGAAGCTCCCGGTGGAACACACTTGTCCCGTTAGTGCCTCGTTCCCGTGTGTTGCCGGGATACATGCATATTTAATGAGCGTGTGTAATGTGTGTCTGGGGAGTGAACGAACATCCAAAAGCACAAGCTTAATTCAAACAAACCCAATGTCTTAACGAAAGACCATGCAGGTCATGTGGAGGTTTAGGGATGTAAATATCATCAGCTCATCATCAGACTCCACACGTGAAGCATTACCTTTTAAAAAACTGATTTAAAAATGCATTTTCAGATCTTTATATTATGTTTCTAGAGGGTAGTTTATGACGGTATGGATCAAAAAAGTTTAACTATTTGCAAAAATAATTTCTGATCCTCATTTTCATTGTCACAAACACTTCATTTGAGTTCGAGTCAGATAAAATAAACCAATGCAACTGCATGTCATAATTACTGTGCTATATGTAAAATTAGTGCTAACTCGTCTTTATTTGAAAAAATATGAACTCTATCTATCTGTCTATCTATATCTTAGTGTTGTCAATCAATTAAAAAAGTTAACTAATTAATCACACATTTTTCTGAAATTATCGCACCTAACATTAAAGTTTTTAAATATACTTTTATATTGCAATAATTTCACATTCATTATTAGCAATTTAATATTTCTTTAATGGCATCTTTAATGTCTCTAGGAAATAGTTTTTTTTCTAATATTTAACCATTGACTAGCCATTCAACATTACAGTATACCTAAGAGCTATAAATTTGAACATTTATTAGACTACAGTACTTAAAAGAACTTCTAATTTAAGTGAACTTAAAACAATCTTCACATAAACCCATTATAATACATGTCATATTTACCTGTGCCCTTCAGCAAGCAGGAAATATACAGAAATTGAATAAAGTTATCAAGAACTAAATTCTAATTTAAATAAAGATGAATCCTTAAACCTACAGAAGTGACTGATTTGCTCTTTTTTCTTTTGTTCTTTGATGAACAGTCGTCACAGCAGCTGGTTATGAGGTTATTTTGTCTGCTTTAAGAGCTGCTGCTGCTGAACATGATGCAGATCTGACACGCATCGTAGTTTCTCTTTACCTTTTCTGACTCACTTCAGCTCTTAAAGTCTCTAGAGTGAGCTGGGGAGAGGGAGACAGTGCTGCTGCTGCTCCAGGACGGGTTTCAAAACCATTTCAGAGACATGTTCTTAAATCTGACTCATATAACAAATACTCACATGCACAGTTTTAAGGCAGCTTTAATTGCCTGTTTGGTAACTTCACGACTTAACTGACGCATTTGTGAGTGCAATTGCAATTTCTTGCCTCTCTCCTGATCTCTGTGCTCACATACTGTATTTTAATGCAACCAAATTCTGTTTCCATTCATTTATTTTTCTGTTCCTGTTGTCAGAAACAGAAAATCTCTTTATTTTACAAATGCATTTTTTTGTTATCAGATTCAAGTTATTTTTTCATATTTATTAATTTTAAATTATTTATCTCTAATGTATTAAATATTATATTCTATATTAATACATATAACATTCTAAACTTCAATACTGATAAATATAATATTATACATTTAATTTTTGCATGCATATTGTTTCTTTAAATTAACTTTAAATAGTGCATCTTTAAATTAGCTGTTAGTTTTGATTAGATGTCGATTTTATATAAATATATATATAGCAAAATGTGCAAATGATATATTATACATGCAAATATTGAATATTTTGAGAGCATTTACTTAGTTATGTTATTTGCAGTGCTTCATGGGAGTGGGCGGAGCTAAAGAGTTTTTTTGTGTGATTTGCTTGTTTCAGTTCTCTGATTGTGGAGATTTCTCTGCAGAATCATGGGTAATGTAGTTTTTTACCTGGAATTCTGCTCTTGAGCATGATTACTTAGAAAATAAGTTGAAATAATGCTGCCTGACAGTTTATTAAACCATCAATTAACAGCCGCGGAAATCATAACTGGTCTTTAACTGTTTATGGTTAAGTTATTGTTCAAAATCACTCTCTCTATGGAGAAAACGAACAGAATTTGTGCTTCCAGATCCAGACCGTGGCGCTCCGTTTCAGAGTGTTATATTACCATTGTTTTACTCACTGTTACTTGCTTTAATGGCGGATGTGTGTCTACCTTTGAGTGCAGGTGAGGACACGTTCGAGCTGCATTCGGTGTGGAGAGGCAGACCCAGCTGAGAGAACGGAGAGCCGCGCTGGAAACATCCAGGGCTGATGCTCACAAGTCTGGGGTAAGTATACAGCCCGCTGCTAACTCTCCCACCACCTCTACTCCGTGTGTTTCTCTGCACAGGCCCGGTGCACCCAGGAAGCGATATTCCCAGATGTCCTTCACTCCGGCGCCGGGACACCATGGACCCTGGGTGCACCCGCACCGGAAGACGTGAGCCAGGCCCCGGGCGACGAGCCCTCCGCCGCCTCCAGTCTTCGAGATCTCCACCCGGAACCGCTTCGCTCCCCTCCGTGAGACGGAACGCGACGCTGTGATCATCTGAGACTCCATCGTACGGCACGTCCATGCTACGTTAGTTGAAGGTAAAGTGCACACTCATACATTGCATCATATAATAATAGTGTTCATCGTCTGTTTGATTACGTCTTTAATAGATTTTTCCGTACATTTCTGCTATATGTACATTAACTAACAGTCACCACTGATAAACTACCACTAAATATTGTAGAAACTTAATTTGCTGTAAAGTTGCTTTGCAATGATTTGTATCGTGAAAAGCGCTGTACAAATAGAATTGAATTGAATTGAACTTGAATTAGTGAATGCGAGCGTGAGCAGCAGAAGGATATTCCACCATGGCCTGGATCCCGTTCCTCTTGAAGATCACGATCCGCAGCACGCTTCCGATCGGGTTACAGACCGTGTACAAAACATCCTAAAGAGGAAGAGCAGAAGCTGTTGAGAGCGTCCCGTCGGGAGGCTGATGTGAGTGAGGAGACGGGGTTTACCGTAGTGATGGGGTAGAGTGGGTTCTGGATGGACAGCAGCAGCACTTTGTTCCCGCTGTTGGGGTCGTCGGCGTTGGTGGGCCGCGTGATGCGTTTGCTGGTGGAGTAGTTGAAGTAGGCCTGCTGTCCTGCGATGTAGACGGGCTCCTGCGAGCCACACGCCACGCAGCGGTCAGCGCTCTGAACCTCCTCGAACTCCACCAGAGCCTGCCGCTTGAACGGCATCATCATCACGTAACTGCAGGAGAGCAGCAGAACTCAGACTAAAACCAGTTACGCTGAATAACACAGTCAACTGAAATAACAACATTTAACTCATTCATAAATAACAAATTCATGAAAATGCGCAACAGAATTAATAAAAATTTTAAAAACTAAATTTAAAGAGGAAAACAGAAAATGTAAAAATAAATTCAAAACATTAACAAAAACTGTAATAGTTTATATCTAAAACCAATAAAAAATGCTTGAAAAAAGAAACTAACTGAAATAAAATAAAACAAAACATTAAAAACTTTATTTTATTTCAGCTAGTTGCCAAGGCAACATTTCTCATTTTAATTTTGTTTAATTCAATATACTAAAATAACTAAAACTAAATAAACTAATAAGCTAAACTAATAAACAAAAAATTATAAAATGACAAAAACACTCAACAAATTGACAAAAACTTTAATTTTCAAGTAAAAACCATAAATATAAAAATAAAATCTAATTCTAATGATCAAAATCTATAATAATATATAACTAAAACCGTAAAAATACCTGAAATAAAATAAACATTAACTGAAATAAAACAAAAACTTAACTTGAAGTACTAAAATAACTAAAACAAATAAATAAAATGCAAAAAAAAAACAACAACAACTATACAGGCATATTAAAATAATAATAATAATAATGACTTAATTTAGTAACAAAATTGCTAAAGCTTTAACTAAAATTAAAGTGAAAATACAAAATACAAAAATAAAATGTACTTCAAAATACTAACAAAAACTATAATAGTATCTCGATGCTAAAATAACACTGACTGACTCAAAAATTCCCTTATGTGCAGCAATCTAAATTATTACATACAGCTCAGTTTTTATTCGAGTGTTGATTATTAAATAAAATTGATTAAGTAATTGATTATAAAATATACTTTATTTTTGGTTTTGGCGATTAGCTAAATGAAAACTTTAATTTCGGATTTGGCAAGAAATTAATTTCAGTGCATCACTAATAATTTGAACAATGAACAAAAACAGCATCAAATATTAATAAAACTAACAAGATATCTTCAATGTCAAATGTTATTGCCGTCACACTCGGTCTGTGGTCACAAGATTCAGACTATAAATACTCTCATATGACCTCCATTCATGTCCCCCAGACACACACACACACACACACACACACACACACACACTTCCTGTTCCTGTGCATCTGATCCGAGTCTTTCCTGATATAGCTGAGGTCAAACACGCGCTCAGATCTTCCCATGATCCTCTCTGAGCTTCTGTGAGTGTAAACGTCAGAAAACAATCGAACGCAGGAACTGATGAAGCTTGAACTATCATTCAGTCGACAGGGACTTTCATGTGGTTCGATGAGATTGGGTTAAAGCCATTATCTGTTCATTCATTATGAGAGAAGAGCATTCAATGAATCTCTGAATCAAAGCAAATGAAGGCATCACTTTACCAGATGTTTCCGAATTTCTCCAAAGCCTCGACCAGATCGGCCTCCACCACGGACTCACACAGACCTCGCACGTGAACGACGGGAGACGGAGCGATGCGGTGCGTCTCAGAGCCGCTGTCCTGAGAACAGAGAGAGAAAACCAGCTTCAGCAGCAGCTTTTACCTGACGACAGCACAGTACACAATGACTACAGTAACATGAGAAGAGCTGAAACACAAAGACCCAGAAAACTTTCTTTGTTTACTTGCATTGTCAGAGAACCATGAACATGTGAATGTGCTAATAATTTATGAAAATATGAACTCAAAATATTAGAAGGACTTCAATAAAACATCTGAATCCCTGCTATAAACCATCATACTGACCATCTGCGTCACATTTTACAGTACGGAATGATTTACCGCGGTATTTACATGCTATACTTCACAGAACACCATGACACTGTCTGGTTAGCTTCATTCACAGTGACTTTCTCACACAGCTGAACAAGTTCGTTTGGAGAACAGCGACTAAACACATTCAGACGAGAGAACAGCCTGTGAGGAAGAGACAGATGACGGACGTCCTGCTGTGATGATGATGATGATGATGATGAAACCGCAGCAGCATTAGAGCTGCTGTCCACTGTGTCAGTGTGATGGTCCTGATGCAGCGGCGCCTGTCAATCATCTCATCACCGCCCGTCTGTCTGATCCTACTGCACGTACAGTAAGGTTTTTTTAAATAAATGAATGCTTTTATTCATCAAGGCTGCATTCAACTGATCAAAAGTGCCAGTAAAGACATTTATAATGTTACAAAAGATGGTAACACTTTATTTTAAGGTGTACTTGTTACACATGTTACATGTACTTACTATTATAATAACAATTAATTATGCATAATTACATGCAAGTAACTCTAAGCCAAACCCTAATCCTAACCCTAACCATATAGTAAGTACATGTAGTTCATTAATATTACTCAGTACTTAAATGTATAATTACAGTGTAACAAGGACACCTTAAAATAAAAAGATTTTTATTTCAAATAAATGCTGTTCTTTTGAACTTTCTGTTCATCTGTGAATCCTGAAAAATAAAATGTATCACGGTTTCCACAGAAATATTGTGCAGCACGACTGTGTTCAACATTGATGATAATCAGAAATGTTTCTAATAATCAGCATATTATACTGATTTCTGAAGATCATGTGACACTGAAGACTGGAGGAATGATGCTGAAAATACAGCTGCGCATCACAGACATACATTACAGTTTAACAGATATTCACATAGAAAACTGCTATTTTAAATTGTAATATTTCACAATTTGTTACTTAAAAATCTTTGAAAATATGTGCTGTTGGTGCAGTTCTATTTGAAACCGGTAAGTATTCTTGTGCTTCAGGGGCAGATAAATTTGTCTATTTTACTATAATAATAAGTGTTTCGTTTCCGAAATAGAACCTAGGGGAAGCATTTGAAGAAAAACAATATAGGGCCCAAAACAGAGCCCTGTGGGACACCACAAGTCAGAAGAACAACGCCTGAGTGTTATTCTCCTACAATGACCCAGAAACTTCTGTTTTAAGGGGGTCATGACATGAGAAACCAAATTTCCCTTGATCTTTTGACACAGAAGAGGTCTTTGTATGCTTACTACATCATGATGCTGGCTTTGCCAAAATACTTTTGCTCAAAGATCAGGCTGTGCCAACTGTTCTGGACCCATCAAGGACGCTGCAAACTGTAAGTAACGTATTTCTTGTAAAAACTATTTTTAAAATGGTAATGCATAGGCAATGATGTTAGCCAATCATAAAAGTGGACGGTGACACTAACCTCTTAAAGGGAAAACACCCCAAAACCAACTGTTTCAGTCAGAGGATGAGAAACAGGGTGGAAAAAGGTCATAAATCACTCAATTTTGTATGTTCTTCGTCCAAAAAACTTATTATAATTACACCTCAGGGAACATCATAAAATAATTCAAAAAACATGTCACGACCCCTTTAAGATACAACTGAAAGCAACTTAGAGCAGTTCCTCTAATGCCAACAAACTGCTCTAACCGAGAAAGAAGAACATGATGGTCAACTGTGTTGAATGCAGCACTTAAAGTGCCCCTATTATGGATTTTTGAAAATTAGCTTTCATGCCGTGTGTAACACAGCTCTAAATGAATGAAAACATCCTGCAAAGTTTTAAATCTGAAAGTGCACCGTGTATAAAGTTATTGTCTCTCAAAAGAAAGAGTCGACTCTGAATCATTGAAACGAGTCGTATTTAAAACGAATCCCAAGCCGTTTCATGTTGACGTCAACATGAAACATTAGCATATTGCACGCCCACTTGTTGGTCTTTTTGCGTTGGTCTGAATGAAAATGTAATGCATGTTGCTCTTATTTTGCAAGCATCAAACTCTCTTTCCATTTTCTACTTTGCAAAACTCCTGATTGTTTGTCGACCACAGAGATCAACAGACGAACGGTTTGAACTTTCATAATAGCACTGCCATCTCAATCCAACGGCAGAAAAGCACCATCAGTCTCACGCTCGCCATGAAATCATGAAGAGCGTCCGGCTGATTCCATCAAATCATCATCTAATAAAGGACAGAGATGAGCGCACACCTGTCTGTCCTCATATAGAGCAGTCTGTCTGGATTATTGCTTACAGCTGCTGTCTGTCTCTAACACCCGTCTCACGCAGAATGAAGTGAGAACAGAGAAACTGTGTCATTTGAGCGACGAGGCCTGATGTCTGTCATTTACTGCATGAAGATCACATTCCCTACATCTCTGCTACTTTTAAACACTACGACTGACCAAAATGTGAGCGAGTAAATAATGAGGTTTGAGGTGAACTACTAACTTTAAACCCGTTAGTGCCAAAGCAGCATCTGCGGTTGGAAAATGACCTGCAAAAATGCGATGCAGCGCTCCTGCTGAAGAATCACATCACAATAGAAAGAAAAACACTTAAAATAGAGCTTGACAAACATCAAACCACTTCCACTGCAGACGGATGACAAGCACCTTGAGTCACAAACCAGATGACAGCAAGACAAACACCAGCGCCATCTTACACACATTCATCTTCATCCACTGCATTCATGCATTTAACTGGAAATCGAACCCCTGACCTCGGCGTTGCTGGCGCTGTGCTCTACTCTCTGTGAAAGCACTGATAGTCAGTGATGACTTTACTCAATTTAAAATCCAATGATCTGGCCAAAAACATACTTGAGTGAAAGAAAAACAAAAAAGTACCATTTAAAATTATACTTCGGCATTAAAAAAATTAACGTAACCAGTCAAAACACATATTTAATAATATAAAAATTAAATTATTAATTAAAATGTATTAATTTTAATAATATTTCATATTAAAAATAAGTTGAAATATATTCATATATAAATTTACTTAAAACGGTAGTTAAGTATTTAAAAAGTAGCTTCTCAAAATTATTATTTAATAACATAAATAGTACACAATATAAAATAACATACAATTAATAATAATTAAAATTAAACTATAAAACAACTAAAAAACATACTTAAGTGAAAGTTTAAAAAAATTCTAATTTAAACTGTACTTAAGTATTATAAAAAAAGAAACAACCTCTCAAAAATCATATTTAATAATATAATATGCAATAGAAAAGCATAAAAATTATAGAAAATTATAAATTAAAATGTATTATTAATAGTAAATAAAATCAAAAATCTGAAATATATTCATATAAAGTAAATTGAATGATAAATGGTAATGATTAACGTACATTTTAAATTGTACTGAAATATTAAAAGCAACCTCCCAAAGATTGTTGTTTAAGCATTTGAATCATCTGAATGAATTGAATAAACATGTTTTTGACATTTCAAGTCTTCAAATGTCAGACAGACTTAAAACGAAATGCAACAGAAGACAAAAACATTCATCTGTATTGCATGTTTACAGAAAACAACAATTAAATAAAAAAACATCATATTTTCTGCAAAAATTCAACGAGCATTTCTTATGTTGAAATATAGAAGTTAAAAAAATAGTTTTTAGGTACTGTGATTTAGAATAGTTAAAACTGCATGTGAGTAAAGAATAAATCTACTACAATAACCCAAAATGATGCTTAAGTACAGTGATCAAGTAAAAGTATTCACACCTCTGCTCAAACATAGCTGGTTTAGTTGTTTGTGTGTATCTGTGTCAGGTCAGGAGGGTTTCCTGTTGGAATCACACTGATATCACACATCTGACTTTAATTACACAAATGCATAAACATGTCAAAAGCACAAACAGCCTCTACGCCAGACACAAAACCAACACAGGTCAAAAACATCCTTCTACAGTGCATGTCTTCATGGAGGGAGAGACAGGAACATGAGGATGAACATGTGTCAATTACATCATACTGTGTCAATACTAGTATTGCCAATGTTAGCTGTCTATTTATACAATCTATCATTTTCATTTTCTCCATTAATCCTCACTTGAATCACTTAATAACTAATCAACCATATGAAGGTGCATCTATCTAGAAAAATCAAATGAAGTGAAGCACATGTCCCATGTTAAACACATGTGAAACCACACATGCATCTGCATGTTGCTCTTATTTTGCAAGCATCAAACTCTCTTTCCATTTTCTACTTTGCAAAACTCCTGATTGTTTGTCGACCACAGAGATCAACAGACGAACGGTTCCTGTTGGAATCACACTGATATCACACATCTGACTTTAATTACACAAATGCATAAACATGTCAAAAGCACAAACAGCCTCTACGCCAGACACAAAACCAACACAGGTCAAAAACATCCTTCTACAGTGCATGTCTACAGAAAACACCAATTAAAAACGCAGCACAGCAGAACACAAAACACATTCTAGTGACACAGAGACACAGAACGGTGTTTCACACCAAAATCAAGAACATCTAACCTTAGAACACTGAAAGCTGCGAAAACGCAACAAGCACTTCACTCGTCAAAATAAAGTCAGAAATGAGTAAAAAGTACTTCAAGTTTCGTCTTCAGAATGTGATTACATAAGAGAACAAAAAATCAGTTTAAACTGCACAAATCTTCAAAATAATTCTGATGTTTCTGTGTATCTGTGTCAGAGCAGACAGGTT